AGATGTGTATATTATGATGTGTATTGCCTACAGATATTCCCCTTCAAAACAACAGCTTATTTTCATTTATTTATGTAGTGTTGAAGGTATAGTGGCACCCAAAAATGAAGAAAAACCTCAAAATATAAATGACAATTTTGAATTGCTTATTACAAAGAACAACATAATGTTAGCAACGTTCAGTAGTTCACAAAGCAAAGTAAGGTTAAGAATTGTAATGGTGTATTTGCAATTGAATGACTGATATAATCTTAATGATGCTTTAGAAACCATGATTGTGGTTTTACTTTAAACGTATAAATGGGGTCATCTATCAAGTAGACTTAGTTGAGAAACTCTTGGCTTGCTTACCAATCATGGTTGAGGGATCCCTCATTAAACATGTTCAAAGCAAAAAATTCACTCAAGTAATTTAAAATCACCACGTATAACCTTATTTTGCTAGCAGACACCCCTCACTTGATCGTTCAGACACCACTCATATTGCTTTCCCCATCAATCCCATTCCCAGTTACCTTTGTGAGTGAACATGTGATTAATTTCATGTTCTAGTCCTGGCTGTTTTTACATAACAAAATTTGAGTGCAACATTTTTATGTTACTTTCTAGAATACTTCGATCAATTGTATTAGTTTCTTTGCGAGACATTGCCGAGGGAGAGGAGCTATTATCGTCTTATTTCAACATTGTTCATTGATAAATTTACAATATCAGTTGCTTTTTGTGACATGTACCAGGAGCTGCTTATATTTTTTGGAGATGTTTTGCCAATTAGAAGTAAGTATAAAATAGTTGCCCCAGGTTTTTTTATTTTTTTAATTTTTTTATTTCAACTTTATATAGAGAGGTTAACCCTTCCAACTGTGCCTGGAAGGCCAGCTGATACTCTGGGGCCCTCTATCAAAATATAAATGATGACAATTTCAATCAAACAACATTACTACATGAAATTACATAATATAAATAATTAATGATAAAATTGAATGTTGGACTATCTCAGATGTCAGCAACAAAGTAAAATATGTAAAACTAACTATCCACTCAGCCGAGGCACTGCTATTAGTATAAATGATGAAATAAGCACTGCAGCTCTTTTAAAAAGAAAGTGAGGATTAGTGCAGTGCTTATGCATAAGAGGTACTTTTTCGAGAGCGTGGTTATTACAAATATGTAATTCAATTTTTTTTTTTTTAATGTTTGGTGGCAGTATACATTATCTTAAATAAATTACAGGTAGAATAATAATGTGGTATTTGTGGCTTGTTTTAATTGTTTTTAATATTATCATCCATAGCTGTTTTTATCTTTCAGACTTTCTGATGACTGAACTGAAAATTGTTGTAGAAACAGGGAATATATGTTTTCAAACCATTGCCAACAGTAGGTCCAGGGATTACCCCCCTCCATCAACATCAACCATTCTACTACTTTCTATCCATTATGCCATTTCTATCATTTCATGTTTGCAGATAAATTTTGGTAGTTTAAATAAAGGTTTAAGCAGAGAGTACTGAGCATTCATTAGCTAATGATGAAAATAAAATATTGAATTGAATTCATGGACTGCCGAATTGTGAAATCGATATCATATTTTACTATGTAAATATGTTGATTTAATTTAATTATATTTTATGTAAATGATAATATGAATAGCCTCTGATTAAAGATTAATTCATTTATGGATCTAAATATTACTTCAGTTTTTCACTTAAATCGATTAGAATTCATCCAAGTAATTGGTAAATATTTATACTTATCATCTACAATATTTACTGTTGATTAGATTTTTTGTCGCAAGGTGAACTTAATCACACAACTGTGGAAACCATAGCATAGTGACTACTTAAATTACATTACATAAAATACTGATCTGTTTGAATATCAGTGGTTTTCATTTTCTTTTGTCTTAGCACTAATTTCATTGAGTCTGATATTTCTGTTTCTTCAATCAATTAATTATAAGCCTCCTGGTGTTTGATTTTGGACTTCCACTTGGCAAGATATTATAGTATATAATATATAACCTTATTACCATATACTGGGTCAAAAATTATTAAGTAATAATATAATAATAATAAAGGCTTTGTTTAAACACAGAAAAGCTTGTATCACCCAAAGGTGTTCTTCTACAAGGCTGTGATATTGATGAAATACTAAAAAGATTAACACCATTAACTAAACAATTTTTATAGAAGTAAACATAAACAAATTCAAAAACTTACAGTACACCACTGGGTAATAACTGTTTAAATGAATAAACATTTGTTGCATTTTGATCTGAACTTTCAATAATTTGGCACCACGATACGAAAAACTTCTTTTTTTGTACTCCGTTTTGGGTTTTTCCAAACACAAGACATCATTAGATCTTGTATAGTATTTTTCTTCCTTAGCGGTAAATAATGTGTTTAAGTATGGTGGTGCTTCATTATGGAATATCTTATACAAAGTAATAGCCTCATTTCGATACAATTGGTCTTCAAGTTTATTCCAGTTTAAGTTTTGCAGGGCTCGTGTACTTGAGTCATATTTTCTTACTTTTGTAATTATTTTAGCTGCCCTGTTTTGAGTAGTTTATTTTTTTGTTTTTGGCTTGATCTGCCCCACACAACATTGCAATAGTTAAATAGTGGAGCAACAATACAGACTTTACATTTAACATTATCTATTTGTTCCCATGACAAATGTTCATCAATAAAAACACCTAGATGTTTACAGCTTTTTACTCTCTGCAATGGTATATTTTCTATGTTTAAATCTAAATCAACATTTAATAATTTTGTTAGAATTTGATGTGTTCCAATGAACATACATTGTGTTTTCAGTACATTCAGACTGAGATTGTTATGTGCTAACCATTACTTAACATTTACTAAATCATCATTAATTTTCATTAACACCTCATTTATATCGGAAGATGCAAAGTAAAGAGCTGTATCATCTGCATACATACTAATTTGTACACTATTTACATGCTTTGGTAGATCATTCGCATATAATGTAAATAACAGAGGACCCAAAATTGATTCCTGAGGGACTCCACATACACGATTAAGATTTTCATTATATGTTTATTGTTACATTAATGTCATCAAATTTTGGTTACATTTATTAATTACTGACCAATCTAGAATTTTATTTTTCAATGTTTTAATTTTCTACTTAGAAAAACCGAAAGGAATGAAATATGCTGGGTGCATCATGTCTAACATCTATTATGTCGTATTGGTTGTGGTGATAATTGGTTCTCACAGGGTAACGAAGACAAAAATACATTAATTTCTAAAGTTGCTTTACGTTTATCTGACATCGAAAACCAGAAATTTAATTCAGAAAATATGTCTTCATCAATAATGAATTATTATGTTCAATTCAAAAGTAGTATTTCATGTTCAGATTATCTTTTTTATGTTGATGATTTCACAAAAAGAAAACTCTTTACGAATGCATTCTGCATACATACTAATTTGTACACTATTTACATGCTTTGGTAGGTCATTCACATATAATGTAAATAACAGAGGACCCAAAATTGATCCCTGAGGGATTCCACATACACTATTACATAGACTTGATTGAACTCCATTTACCTGGGTCAGGTGTGTACGATCACAAAGGTAGTTTCTAAACCAATTTATAACTTTTTGATCAAGTTTGAAAGAATGGAGTTTCTCTATAAGAATGGCATGGTCCACTGTATCAAATGCCTTCTTCAAATCTAGCATAACTAAACCAATGTACTTCCCACAATCAATTGCGTTTATCCAATCTTCTGTAATATTTATTTAAAGGACGATACAGTTGAAAATTTAGGACGAAATCCAGATTGATATTTATAGATCATGCCTTTAGAATTTATAAATTGATAAATCTGGTAAAAAAACAACCCTTTCAATTATCTTAGAAAGAATTGGTAAATTTGATATGGGCCTGTAATTACTGGCCTTGGTTCTATCACCACTTTTAAATATAGGGAAAACTTTAGGACATTTCCATTTTTCAGGAAATCTGCTCGATGACTGGGAAAGATTGACTAGGTATGTAATAGTCACTACTACTATTGAAAAAAAATATATATTTTAACTAAAAATTATTGATTTGTATATCAAGTATGATATGTTGTTATAGAGAAAATTATTGCCTCTTGATGTCGCTGATTTCCGACCCTGCAAGACACTAGAATACTAGGTCAATGGTCATTATGGCACTATCTACCCTCAACTGTACAAAATAATTTTAATAAAAATTGATTGATTTATAAATTGATTTATAAGTCAATAGGTAGTAGAATATGATTTCTTTTTTAACTTAATCATACAGGCACGTGTTGATCATCTAAATTACCTGCCTGTTCTTTTTTCAAATATTTTCTTGAAATGTATAAGACATTTTATGACCTTGTTTACTAAACATAAGAACTCAAATTCATGTTTCTATATATTTTATATATATACCATATGAGATAGGCATTGAATAGTCAGTCTTATTCTCAGCCTATTTACAGGTTTAAACATAGGTCTTTCCTCCATAGTTTAAATAAGCCCTGCTTTTGAACCAATCAGAACAGGGCTAAGAACACATACTTACAAGAAGCACGTATGTTATGCGGGATCATAGCCATCATATCCAATTGGCAGGGCTTAACTAATTTATGCTGTCGTTTTGCGGAATCTTAGCAACCGTATCCAAGGGGCGGGGATGAGCGGAAAGGTCCATCTTGGTTTAGTAACAAATAAAATGTTCACAGTAATTTAATAATGTTAAAACAGTTTGGCTGTTGAATCTAATCTTAGATTACACTGTCAATATATCTTTGAAATCATTGTTATCAAGGGGAGGTTGTTTGTTGATTTACGATAATTTACCACTGTAACTACTATTCCATCATGATCATCATGATGATCATCATCAGGCTTTTTCACCCACTGCTGTGTGAAGCCCTCCTCTAACATTTTCCATCTTTTTTCTGTCTGATGCTATTGTTGCCAAGTTTGCAGTTACTATTTGTTTCCTCAAATTTATTACCAACCAACTTAAGGGTCAACTGTAAAATATATGATGAATTAAATTATACACCCAGTCATTCATATTTTGGTGAACCAGTGGTTGTGAATAGTATGTATTGATTTCGGTATTAGGAATATTTCACATATATATTGAAAATAGTTTCTAAAATTCTGCAGGCCAACAAATTCAGAATGAATGGCGCCATAGTAATTTAGTGTCGTAAGTCTAAGCTTAATTTAAATTCATATAGGTACAGTATGGTCCTATACAGAGACCTCCATTGTGATAACTGAAATGTGCGGCTCTCAGGCTATTTATCTGATCTTCAGTAATTTAGTTTTTTTTTGGCTCGGAGCATCATTACTTCAAGTCGCATATATTGGTTTCCTCGTTGATTGACAGGAAAGTTTTTGTTGCACCAATCAGTAGCATCTTGTAGAAATCCTTCGTGGTATTGCTCGGGTAGGTAATTCAGATGACCAAGAAGTGTGCGGAGATAATCTAAAGCAAAGAAAATAACATACAACTAATGATAATTTTTGTTAGTTATCTGTTAATGCGATTGGGATGCAATAATTGTAAGTCAATGATATAATACGAATTTGATGAAAGGATTCTTTTAAATAGAATGTAATAAAAAAAAAAGCAACACATCAAAATTATTAAGAATTAATAATAATACTAATTATATATATATATATATATATATTTATGTATTTTGTGATGTATTTTGATGGCGCAATTGAGTTCTTAATTTTGTATCTTAATTTGACAAAATATGCACAACATATTGTAATTAAGATAATACTTTGTTTGTCTTGTTACACATCAGTGGCAGATCCAGGAATTCAAAATAGAGGGGGCCCGGGGAGGTATTCATGGATGGAGGATTGGGACTGAGGTAAGAAAATGTGTGATTATGGCATCTCTAGATGGCCGGAAATTGCACTCTCAGACTTAAAAATGTAAATATAATTTTCTTGATATCTCAATTAAAAAAATTTTTTAAACAATTTAGGGGGGGGGGTGGTGGGGCGGGCCAGCAGGGATCCCTTTAGTGACTAGTTGGTTTAATTTTTATTATATTATATAAAACAAATTATTAAGTACAGTTAAAACTTTCATTCAAAAGAAGAACAATTTTTGTACTCTTTTCTAATTACTGTATTGCTGTTGCATGTGTCAGGTCTATTGGTATTATTGAAAAGATTACACTGAATTATGAAAGTAATTAAAAAAATAATAATGTCGGTGTCATTTGATGTATATTTTAAAATCATGATAACATTTAAAATCCATTAAATCACATTAGGCTGTTGCTTCGACCAACATTTCCCCAGTACTGTATGTTCTGTATAAGTATTAAAAAATGCATATCTCATTAACTGCTTTTTGTCTCATTAACCAAGTTTTTCGTCAAAGTTTAAGAAGAATATTAAGACGTCTGTATTTCTGTTGGCAATCATGTAGGCCTATTTTTATCTTAATTTTTTTCTTTTTTTAATTGTATGTTTTAAAGCTATTCTATATAAATACAATTAAATGAATGTAAAAATTTACTGTACGTTTTATTTTGTCTTGTATGGGAGCATCCCACTTTTATTTTAATATAATCAATCATTCTACAAATCGAACATGAAAATCTTAACTAAATACAGTACGATATTGCAACTTTAAATATTTATTTGCCGTAATAATTTCAATTTCAAGCGTTTTTTTTTTCCATTGTTTTTGTATTTTAATAGCCTATTCAATTTGAAAGATATAAATTCTCCATCGATGTTATGCAATCTTATGCAGATTTATGTTTGTATGTTTTAAGTTTTATGCAGTTTGCACAATAGTGCGAATCATCAAATTTTATTTCTCATAAACATAAGCATGTGCAGCAAAGTACTTCGTAGTTAATTATTGAACTGCCCATGCGTGTAATGAAAAAAAAATTCGCATTTTGGGCAAATTCACTTAGAGGAAAGCAACAACTACCGTACGAGGACAAGCCGGCACATAAACAATAAGAAGGAAAGAATACACTATTTATTTCGAATTTCTGTAGTGTTCATTCACATTTGGGATAAAAAATGAGTTTTTATTTTATTTTACGACTAGGAATATCATATACTTGTAGGGGACTACTTTTGTTGGTGTAATCAAGTTCTACTTGCTACAAATTTTCCACTGTAGTACTAGGCAGAGACCGAGGCTTAGGCCTACACTAGCGGCACTTTTTTTTTATTAGGGGGTGCCTCTGCACCCCTCCTGCCTCCCACCTTCCCCCAGCCTCTCCCTGTATGTATATATAACGTAAATATAATTTTTAACTAAATAACTGAAATGTTGCAATTGAGTTTTTTTGTTAGTATTTGTCAATATATTAATTTTTTTTTGTCTATATATCACTACAGTATAATTATCATAAAAAGTACATTACAAATTACCTTTTATTTGGTCTTTGTGAAGATCAAGTTCGTCACATGGTTTGTGTAAGTTTGCTGTTATTACCTCGAAGCCAACTGATTCCAGAAACCTTATGCTATCTTCAATACTTATTTGACTATATATTTTGTTCTCGTAATCCTGAAATGTAATGAATAACTTTTAATTTAATCTAATGAGGTTATTTCATAGAGTATTTTAATACACTAAAAAACACTTCCCTTAAAAAAGAAAAAAACACTTCCCTTATCGAGAGACAATGATAATGATGATGTTGATGAGAGACAATGATAATAATGATGATGTTGATGAGATGATTTACATGGCGAAGTAATATGAGTTAAATGCTTTTGTTACACCACGTATGATAGTTCTGTGAAGAATTGTTGTTGTTAACGTTTGATCGCCATTAGGAGAATAATATATGCCCAACAAATGTGGTTAAAAAAGCCAAAACAGTGTTATTGTTTTTATTCTTGGATGAAGGAAACCAAAAACAATGGCCTTGTCTCCAGTCATAGACTTCACTGATTTTAAAGCATCACCTAATTTTCATTTATTTAAGAATCCGTCGACCTTCTAGAGGATACGTTGGAAGGGTCACCCTCTATATATATGGTTGATGATAAAAGAAATGATAATATTGATGATAACGATGATGGTAACATTAATAATCGTAAAATGATGATGATAATATAAATAACTAACCATTCTCAAAATCACCCATAATGGCCACGTTGATAGTGACGACGATGATGATAAGAGTATTTTCAACGTTACATGTGAATGAGACAACAATTATGATTGCAGTGACAATTTATAATTTCACAAGGCAGCCATTTCTGTACGTCATTCATTTTTTTCATCATCAGTTGTTTAAATTAAAATAAATGTATACGTACTTTAAGATGTTCTTTCCATTTACTAATATTCTTCAAGTAATATGGAAGTTCATCCTCACTGTGACCCAGTATTTGATTCATCGGACCGACGTATAGAAGGAAGCACTCCCCGCCAGGTCTGAGGCAGTCGTA